CTGAGTCCTGTTTCAAATATACAATTCGGAACATTGTTTTGCAAGAAAAATCCCATATAAATTCCATAAATAAGGTCTTTGGAATGAATGGAAACCGAATATCAGGAGTTGCACAATATGGAAAACCATGTGATGAATGAGAGCTTGAGATGTCGAAATGTAACAAATTTGACTGCCAATTTCAGTCCTAGTCCTTTGTAATTACAGTCTTCAATCGTCATTGCAAGATCCTAATGGAATGATGTTCTTCTAGCTCTGTGAATAAAATAAGTCTGTCTTAATTCAGAACACTTTTACATTAAAGCTTATTTGATAAAATTTCGGACCCTTCATTAAAACCTTTGATTATACAAATACATAGTTGAGGGACGAATAACTGAGGCCCACACAGCTTTATAGAAATTATGTCCCCAGCGGATTTCAAATATTTGGGTATGGCAGAAACTGACCCTTTAGGCGGCCCTTTGCGGCCTTTAGATAATTTATACAAGAAAATTTCACTTATATTTCAATCCACGAGACAGGTGGGTTTGATTCTCTTTTTCCATGCAATGTACCGGTAGATAGACGGTTGTTTAAAATAATTTCTTTCTTTGCGTAGTAATTTTTTGATAATTATTTATCACATGTACAAGCCACCAACACAAGAAACGTGTTTTGCAATTAATGAACAAAATTAATGCCAGGCACAATTGTATCATTGACCAGTCATCCAAGGCTAATTAGTGAATACATTCTTGTATTAGTATGATTTTTGATGTTTGCCATTAAACAGCTGCCAAAGAGAAAAGGGAAAGCAGTTTATACAGGAAAAGTGACCATGTCTTGAAAAGAGTCTACATTATAAATCAATGCCACACCATGTACTATGGGGGCAATGTTCATGATAAACATTGTACATAAAATCGTCAAACTCAGAATAGCATATTAAAATCATTTTACAAATCAACTTTTTTGCTCATCACAAAAAAGGTGTGGGATGATTCCACAGCCCATCATCCCACCACCAAAGGGAGGGAGATACATATATGTAACCTTCTNATTCCACAACTTTTTTCATCAGAATTATCCTGTTTTTCCACACATACATGTACATGTACTGCTTGCCTTTCCATTTGCTGTACCTCAAAACCTTCATTTTCAAGCCCCTGACTAATGTCAGTTTTTCTTTCAATAAAAAGAAAAAAAATCTCTTGAACTTAATTATCTCAGTCTTAATACATTAAGACATAATGCAAACATGATATTAATACATGATACATTAAATGCTAAATACGTTTTTTGTCCAGCACTGATGGTTTTGAAGTTTTGTGTGCATACTATTTAACTTGCAGCAGTTCACCAAATGCTTTTTATGGTCATGCCCACAGATTTATAGCACTACATACATGTAGCGGCGCAAGATGGAGAACTTGGCCAAAAGGTGCTATCACCATACATGTAGGTGCCATTTGAGTGTGAATGTTAATGCATGGATGCAGGCATACCAGGTGTACGTGCCTGTCACGTTGCCTGTGCCTGTTGCATAAGCAAAGTGTATTCACACCCAAATGCCGCCCACGTGATAACGTTTTATAATAATAATAATAATACAGCATTTATAAGGCGCCTGTATCTGGTGACCATTCAAAGGCGCCGGTCTGATGAAAGAGCCTCGGTCTCAAGAAGGAAAAGCTAGGACATAAAGGTGGGTATTCACGGTGAAGTTCTCCATCTTGCGCTGCTGTGTGGTGCTATACAATCTTTGGTCATACCCTGCCTTCTTAATACTTTCTTTCAACACATGCATTGATCTTGTAGATACCTCTGATGATATACAGCTTTCGAATTTGTTGTTCCCCTGACCAGCAACGCTGGCATGGGTATTACCATGCCCATCCGTGGCAACACACAGCCCTGGCAGCAGTCCTGAGTGACAAACCCAGGATTTGCGCTATCACATTGTCTTTAAACTGTAAGTAAAAACCTTGATTCTGCCACCTTAATTGGCACTGCATTTGAAATCGAAAATGTGCACCTACATGTATTTGATTTCAGTATTAGTTTAACTTTTTGGAATAAAAAAATTGCCCCAAAACACATTAATTTAA